AAAAAAAAAAAAAAGGAAAAAAAAAAAAAAAAAAAAAAAAAAAAAAAAAAAAAAAAAACGTATTTTTCTTACCATGAGTAGACCAGCGGCCCGTACAGTCATCATATTTATTTATAAGGAATTCCTTTAATGGATATGCGAAACTTCGAGCACAATTTGAGACGCCTTCAAATACACTTCGAACGCGTCGTCCTAATACCTGTATATATAGAGAGGGCACAATAATAATTACTATGCTGCTGCTCCTGCTGCTGCTGCTGCTGCTGCTGCTGCTGCTATTGCTGCTGTTGCTGCTGCTGGGGGTGGGGGTCGCGGGGGTGGTGCTGCTAGGAGTTGTGTTATAGAGGGATGAGGTGATCTAGTTAGAGAAGGGAGAGAAAAGGAACCATTGCCACAAAACCTCAGGAATACTATAAGCTGCAGCAGCAGCAACAACAGCAGCAACAGCAGCAACAGCAGCAACAGCAGCAGCAACAACAGAAACAGCAGCAGGAAGAGCAGCAACTCACCGCCAATCCATCAAGCATGCGCTCAACAGTCTCCTGGCAGACAGTCGTCCGCTGCCCTGTGTCGCCTGTATCACTCATTGTGCTGTTGTTGCTGCTGCTGTTGTTGTTGTTGTTGTTGCTGCTGCTGCTGCTGCTGCTGCTGCTGTTGCTGTTATCGCTGCAGCTGATGCCCGACTTGGAGTCGCAGCGGCGAACTGAGAAACAGCTGCTGCTTGTGCTGCTGTTTGTGCCGCTGTTGCGGCTGCTGCTGCTGAGGGATTCTAAGACCGCCTAGCAAGGGTAGGCTCGTTGCTGCTGCAGCGCAGCAGCAACAGCAGCAAGGGAGAGGGTGTTAGAAAAAACCAAGCGAACTGACACACTAGACAGCAGCAGAATCTGCTGCTACTATTGCTGTTGCTCCAGCAGTTGTTGCTGCTGTTGCTGCTGTCTGCTGCTGCTGCTGCTGCTAAGAAAACAACTAGTGTATAGAGGAGGTAACAGACCCCTTCAGCCGGGTTCTATATTTTCTTCAATAGCATACCTCTTAAACCCTAAACCCTAAACCCTAAACCCTAAACCACGCAGCTAGCGGCCTGCTGCTGCTCTCCTGCTTCTCCTCTTATGTAAATAAGCTATAAACCCTAATCTAAATTAGATAAGGGGTAAAGACAGAAAAAAACTCATTTATAATTGTTTATTTAATTCATCTTTCTTCTTTTTTACGGTCTAGGGTTTAGGGTTTAGGGTTTATAAAGGGCTGCATGTGAGGCGCAGCAGGCGCCTGCAGCAACAAGGGGGGAGTGTATCTAAACCCTTTTTGTGTACAAACCCTAAACCCTAATAAGAATATTAATAATTAATTATTATTATTTATTAATTTATTAATTTATTTTCCCCTTTTTTCCTTCTTAATGCTCTTGTCTTACTCTATAAATGAGTATTGAAAGCGGCAAAGCCTTGAGGCGCCAAGGCCTGCCACAGCAACAGCAGCAACAGCAGCAGCAGCTGCTGCTGCTGCTGCTGTTGCTGCTGCCGCTGTATGGACCATTAACTGTCTGGTGCTAAGGAGAAGTGTTAATAGCAGCAAAGGTTAAGGGGAGATTGTTTATATAAATAAGACAAAAATAATGTTATTAATATGCAGTAATTTATTATTTTGTTTTTTTCTTCTATTTGCTAATCTTTCTGCTGCTGTTGCTGCTGCTGCTGCTGCTGCTGCTGCTGGTGAAACTGCTGCTGCAGCAGCAGGGGCCCCTAGGGGCCCCTTGCGTGTGGAAGCTGCAGAAGAGTTGTGCCTGCCTTCTTTGCTTTTGCCTTTCTGTATACACCTTACAGGTGTTGCCAATGTGAAGTGTTTAGGGTTTAGGGTTTAGATTTCTAGGGTTTAGGGTTTAGGCCCTGCTGTTTAGGGTTTAGGGTTTAGGGTTTAGGGTTTAGGGTTTGCGTACTGGTGTTGTACAACCTCTGAAGGCCCGCTGGCCACATATTCATCTTCAAACAGCAGCAGCAGCAGCAGCAGCAACAACAGCAGCAGCTGCAATAACAGCATGAGCAGCAGCAGCAGCACCAACGACAGCATCAGCAGCAGCAGCAGCAGCAGCAGCACCGCCGCAGAATTGTCGCCTCTGTGGCTGTAGATGCTCTCGCTGTATATACACCGCAATGACAGCACACGAGGGCAGAAGAAGGCGCCACAGCAACCGAGGTTCCCAGCGGCAGCAGCAGCAGCAGCTGCAGCAGCAGCAGCAGCTCTCCGAGGATGAGGAGCTGCAGCTAGCCCTTGCTCTCTCCCTTTCTCTACAGCAGCAGCAAGAAGAACAGAAGCAGAAACAGCAGCAAGAAGAGGAGCAGAAGCAGCAGGGGGACGACGGGGAGCAGCAGCAGGAAGAGCAAGAACAGCAGCAGCAGCAGCAGCAAAAGGAGGAGGAGCAGCAACAAGGCGAGGAGCAACACGATGTGGAAGTATGCGACAGCGCAGATGACCAGCCGAGCAGCAGCAGCAGCAGCAGCAGCAGCGGTAGAAGGAACAGCAGCAGCAGCAGCAGGCAGCAGCGCCTTGGCAGCAAGTCGGAAGCAAGCTCAAACGAGCAGCAGCAAGACCTGCAGCAGCAGCACCAGCAGCACCAGCAGCACCAGCAGCAGCAGGCTTCGTCGCCTTTGTTGCGAAGGCGTAGCCGACTGAGCAACAGCGGCAATAACATACGGCAGCACGAAGCAGCAGAGAGCAGCAGCAGCAGCAGCAGCAGCAAGCCGCATCGAAAGCGTTTGCGTGCTGAACAGAGCAGCAGCAACAGCAGCAGCAGCAGCAGGAGAAACAGCAGCAGCAGCAACACGAGCAAAGAAGATGATGACCTCCAGCTAGCCTTAGGCCTCTCCCTTTCTGAGCACGTTGCCTCCAACAACAGCAACAGCAGCAGCAGCAGCAGCAGCAGCAGCAGCATCAATTCTAGCAGCAGCAGTAGCAGCACCAGCAGCAGTAGTAGTAGTAGCAGCAGTAGCAGCAGCAGCAGCAAGCCTGGGCCCGACCCAGAAGGCAGCCAACAAGACAGCCATGCAGACGACGAGAGCAGCAGCAGCAACAGCAACACTAGCAGCAATAGCAGCAGCAACAATAGCAGCAGCAGCACGGACAATAGTAGGAGCAGCAACAACAACAATAGCAGCAGCAAGAATGGCAGCAGCAGCAGCAGCACAAACAGCAGCGAGCTGCAGACACACCAGCAGGCAACAGCGCGGTGCACCCGACGCCGTGCTGCTGCTGCTGCTGCTGCTGCTGCTGTTGATAGTGAAGACAGCAGCAGCAGCTTTAGCGGCGAGAGCGAGAGCGACAGCAGCAGCAGCAGCAGCAATAGCAGCTGGAGCAGCGACGGAGAGTTTGCTGCTGGCAGGCGGGTCCGCAGCAGCAGCAGCAGCAACAGGAGACACCGCAGCAGGGGCAGCGGTGCTGCAGCGGCACGCAAAGCAGCAGCGAGTCGCAAGAGCAGCAGCAGCAGCAGCAGCAGCAGCAGCAGCAGCAGCAGCAGCAGCAACAGCAAGTCTGTGTTGGCACAGAAGCGCGGGCCGCTGCAGGCTGAGAGGAAGCAGCAGCGGCAGCGAGCTGCAGCAGCAGCAGCAGCAGCAGCAGCAGCATGGAAGGAAGAGAAGCTGCTGGCAGCAAGAGATTTCCTTTGGGATGTATTAACAGGGGTGCAGCAGCTCGTGCCGCTGCAGCAGCAGCAGCGGCAGCAGCAGCAAGCAGCACAGGTGCAGCAAACCCTAACTAAGCTGCAAGGAGACCTAACAACAGAAGCAGCAGACATGCAGCAGCAGCAGCAGCAGCAAGAACAGCAGCAGCAGCAGCAGCAGGCGACGGCGCATGCAGTGCAGCCCGCTCCAACGGACGAACCGCGCAGCAGCAGCAGCAACAACAACAACAGTAGTAGCAACAACACCAGCAGTAGCAACAACAACAGCACCACCAGCAGCAATAGCAGCAGCAGCAGCGACAGCAGCAGCAGCAGCAGCAGCAGCAGCAGCAGCAGCGGTGAATTTCTTAATTATGTAACAGTTGATAGACTTAAAAAAGTAGCAGAAGAAGCAGCAATAGATCTAAGCGAGAGGGACATTCTTGATATGATTGCTGCTGCTGCTGCTGCTGCTGCTGCTGCTCGTGCAGCTCCTTCGGATGCTTCTGCAGCAGCAGCAGAAGCAGCAGAAGCAGCAGCAGCAGCAAAGAAACAATATGTCACTTTTGCTGAGTTTGCTGCTGTATTTAATCATGCAGGACTAAGAATAGAAAAGAATGGCCACGTATGGTAGCAGCAGCAGCAGCAGCAGCAGCAAGAACAAATGCAGCAGCAGAAGCAGCAGCAGCAGCAAATGCAGCAGCAGCTCCTGCTGCTGCTGCTGCTGCTGTGCTGGAGGCTGTAACCCTAGTTTTTTTTTTTTTTGCAGACAGCTGCTCCTTTTTTCTGCTGCTGCCGCAGCAGCAGCAGCAGCAGCTAAGTTACGCTCTGGGGTTTTATTGTTTCTTTTGCTGCTGCTGTTGTTGCTGCTGTTGCTGCTGTTGCTGCTGCTGGTTACTCACTTTTCTTTTCAGCACATTACTGTGCCTCCTGTAGTGTATCTGCTGCCTCCCCTGCTGCTGCTGTATCTGCTGCTGCATCTGTTGCTGCATCTGCTGCTGCATCTATTGCTGCATCTGCTGCTGCATCTGCTGCTGCATCTGCTGCTGCATCTGCTGCTGCTGCTGCCTCTTCGTAAACGGGAGGAATGAGGACGACCTGCAGCAGCAGCAAAAAGAGACAGCAGCATCAGCAAGTAGAGACAGCAGCAGCAGCAAGTATAGACAGCAGCAGCAGCAGCAGCAGCAGCAGCAGCAGCAGCAGCAGCAGCAGCAAGAGTAAAATAGAACAAATACTTTACAAGGAGACACAAACAAAGGAGACAGCAAAAGGGAGACAGGAGACAAAAAGGAGACAAAAGGAGACAAAAAAAGGAGACAAGAAAAGGAGACAAAAGGAGACAAGAAAAGGAGACAAGAAAAGGAGACAAAAGGAGACAAAAAAAGGAGACAAAAAAAAAGGAGGGAAAAAAAGGAGAAAAAAAGACAAAAAAAAAAGGAGACAAAAAATAAAGGAGAAAAAAGGAGACAAGAAAAAAGGAAGGAGAAAAAAGGAGGTAAAAAAAAGGAGAAAAAAAAAAGAAAAAAAAAAGGAGAAAAAAAAAAGGAGGAGAAAGTTGTTACTCTTTGTATAGCATCTAAGGAAGACATGAAGACTTCTCCGTCACGAGCAAAGAAGAGACAACAAGAATTAGGAGACCCTAGCAGCACTCCTTCCTGCTGCTGCTGCTGCTGCTGCTGCTGCTGCTGCTGCTGCTGCTGCTGCTGTTGCTGCTCCTGCTGTTGTTGCTGCTGCTGCTGCTCCTGCTGCTGCGATCTGCTGCTGGCAACAGCTTGGGAGAGGAAGGATAGAGAAGGAGCAATGGCATCAGGAGACAGCCTGTTTGCTGCTGCAGCAACAGCATAAGAAGGTGCAGAGGAAGCAGCAGCAGCAGCAGCAAGTTCTGCTGCTGCTGCTGCAGGAGGCACAGACTCACAATAACCCATTGGCTTTATATAGTCTCTTGCGTCCTCCTCCTCTATAGGAGGCAACGGGTAGCAGGGCTGCTGCTGCTGCTGCTGCTGCAGCAACGGCAGCATATTGCTGCCAGCAGATGCACCCTCGGCTATTGCTCTTGCTGCATGCATGCGAGCGCATGCACCAAGTGCTGCTGCTGCTGCTGCTGCAGGCAGCTTCTGCACTGATTCTGCTGCTTCTGCACTCTCCAGGTGTATGTACACCGGAGCTCCTGCTGCCATGGTTAGCTCACGACGGCCTAATAACTCTAGTCTAGGCTTACGCTGCTGCTGCTGCTGCTGCTGCTGCTGCTGCTGCTGCAGGGGAGCAACAGGAACAGTAGCCATTTGTATATCAAGGGCGTCAACAAGAGGAAGGGCCTCCAAGTCTGCAAGGTCCTGCAGACGATTTCCTGTACAAAAACCCTAAACCCTAAACCCTAAACCCTAAACCCTTGCGCATGCAGGAAGGACAAAGAGACAAACAAAAAGAGACAAAAAGGAGAACAAAAAGGGAGGCAGGAGACAGCAGCAATAGGGTCTAAAACGAACATATAAGAGAAGCAGTCAAGGGTTAAGGGATTAGGGTTTAGGGTTTAGGGTTTAGGGTTACGAATCATTTGTAGGAGATGGCGGAGATCCTGCACCGTGACGATGCTGGCGAAGTCTTCAATGGGGTGCTGCTCCTGCTGCTGCTGCTGCTGCTGCTGCGGCAGCCGCAGCTGCTGCTGCACAGGCAGCAGCAAACGGTGCTGCTCCCAAGAAAAATCTGTTGTTATAAACCCTGTATAACTACGACGGACTTTAGGGGGCCAACCGTATGCTACAACTTGCCTGCAGACACCCTAAACCCTAAACCCTAAACCCTAAACCCTAAACCCTAGAGGCACCGGAAATGTAATCCTAATACCGTAACACTCAACCCTAAAGAAATAGGCAAGGATGTGACTCTTGGCGTACAACACACACAACACTCCTTCGTAAACCCTAAACCCTAAACCCTAAACTTGTGCAACTCTAAACCCTAAACCCTAAACCCTCCTGCAGTTAACAGACCGGATAACTTCCTCCACGCGACACCGCCAGGGAGCGTCCAGGGGATCGTCGACCTGCAGACACGCCAAAACCGTAAACCCTAAACCCTAGCTCGTGTGAAAGGGTTTGGAGAGGGTATGTGGATTCAAATTTAGGGTTTAGGGTTTAGGGTTTAGGGTTTACCTGTCCCATATCGGCAACTAAGGGAGAGGGAGGGTTTGCGAATGCATAAGATGCATCTAAGAAGAAGAAACCCTTATCAGGGTTCATTGAGGGCTAAGCATCGAACACAGGAAACAAACCCTAAACCCTAAACCCTAAACCCTAAACCCTAGAGCTACTTCCTACCCCAAACATTTGAACGCCTCGACTTTACGCGATTTAGGGTTTAGGGTTTAGGGTTTAGGCAAGCGTATGCTTAAGGGTTTAGTGCTTAATGATGACTAGTGTGGCCCACAACAGGCAAGGCTATTTATGAGCAATTAGGGTTTAGGGTTTAGGGTTTACTGGTGGATTGTTTAATTCTGTAACAGGGAGAGGCTGCCCTGCAGTAACAAAACCCTCGCCAGCAAACCTCTCGAATTGTTCTCTTGTACTCGGGCTGAATACAACAGAACAGAGGTTTAGGGTTTAGGGTTTAGGGTTTGGAGTTAAAAAGAAATACAACATAAACCCTAAACCCTAAACCCTAATTCTTACTTATAGTGCTTCTTGATGTTCTCGTATACTCTAAGCACACGAGGCTCCAACAGCTTCTCCTCTTCCTCATCTAATATCCACTCTGTAGCACAAACCCTAAACCCTAAACCCTAAACCCTAAACCCTAAACCCTAATTCCTATTGCTGTGAACTCTAACGATTCCTGGCACCAAAGCTGTAAGCCGTGTAAACCCTAGGAGATGCAAATGCAAACCCTAAACCCTAAACCCTAAACCCTAAATATACCTTGTCGTGGTTGCTCCTCCCTAGTTCGCCACTTCTCGTGTTCAACCATTGCTTCTGCTATTGTCTGCAAGCAGACACCAAACCCTAAACCCTAAACCCTAAACCCTAAACCCTTAAACATAAACCCTAAACCTTGCTACAGATAAGGATATTGGGTTTAGGGTTTACAAGGGTTTAGGGTTTACTAGGGTTTAGGGTTTAGGGTTTTAGTACCTTGACTGTCTTCCGATAGGGAATTCCTTTCGGCGGTGGTTGTCCTGCACATAAACCCTAAACCCTAAGCCCTAGCAACCTATGCGCAGCAACAACAACAGGAACTGCAGCAGTACCAGCAGCAGCAGCAACAGCAGCAGCAGCAGGAGCAGCAGCAGCAGCAGCAGCAGCAGCAAGAATCACCTTCTGGCCAGGGGCCAAGACCCCTGTGCAGTTTCTCATATTCAAGTAGGTCAGTCTGCAGTACTCACAAACCCTAAACCCTAAACCCTAAACCCTTAAGTCTATTCCTTGAACTAGCCTTCTAAGGGTTTAGGCAATGAGGTTTAGCTCTTGAGGGTTTACGATTTGGGGTTTTAAGTGTTTAGGGTTTAGGATTCAAGGGTTTAGGGTTTAGGGTTTAGGGTTTAGGGTTTGCATACATAAACTTCTGGGGGTTCTTGGTCAACAAGATACTTCATATCATCGTCAAGATATACCTCAAAATCTGCAGCAGCAGCAGCAGCAGCAGCAGCAGCAGCAGCAGCAGCAAAAGCAGCAACAGCAGCAGCAGCAACAGCAACAGCAGGAAAATCATCAGAAGCAAGGCAAATATAAGCAGCAGCAGATGCTGCTATTCTGTTTCCTGCTATGGATACAGTCTAGGTCTGTTGCTGCTGTTGTTGCTGCTGCTGTTTCTGCTGCTGCTGTTCATGCTGCTGCTGCTGCTGCTGCTGCTGCTGCTGCTTACTGTTGTCTCCTTCTATTCCCTTAACAAGAAGATCTGGTTCGTCTTCCTGCAGCAGATCGCGGGCAAAGTACACGCGTTTCTTGCTGCCGTTGCTGCTGCTGCTGCTGCTGCTGCTGCTGCTGCTGCTGCTGCTCCTGCCCTGCTGGCGCAGCCGTTCGTTATAAGCAGCAACTCGCTGCTGCTGCTCCTGCTGCTGCTGCTGCTGCACCTGCTGCAGCATTACTTCATCAGGGATGAGGTTATGAGGAGGAGCAACAAAAGGATAATCCCTAAGCCGCACACAGACACATTGCTGCTGCTGCTGCTGTTGCTGCTGCTGCTGCTGCTGCAGCTAGGCTGACGGCTGCTGCTGCAACTATTCCTGCTGCAGCTACTGCTGCAGGTCCTAACTGCTGCTGCTGCAGCTACTCGAGAGGCAATAGCCTTGATGCCAGCACAGCAGTATCAGCAGCAGCAACAGCAGCAGACTCAGTAGCAGCAGCAGCAGTAGCAGCAGCAGCAGCAGCAGCAAAGAATCTTACGCAACGTCTATGTCTTCATATTCATCTACCCCTTCATCCTCGTCGTCTTCTTCTTCTGCTGCTGCTGCAGCAGCAGCAGCAGCAGCATTTAGTGCTGCTGCTGCACCATTTCTTTTTCTAATACAAGAGCGATGAAGAACAGGCTTAGCAATTGCTGCTGCTGCTGCTGCTGCTGCATTTGCTGCTGCTATCTTACCCCCTTCGCTGCTGCTGTTGCTGCTGCTGCTGCTGCTGCTGTAGTTGTGGTAATGGGGCTTAATAGGGAGAAGCCAAGCAGTCAATACTCGCTGTGCTGTTGCTGCAGTTGCTGCTGTTGCTGCTGTTGCTGCTGCTGCTGTTGCTGTTGCTGCTGCTGCTGCTGCTGGTGGACCTCTGTATGTTGTCTGTACCTTCTTCTGGTGTATATAAAGGCAGTTAACTACAGACCCAGACTGCAGCAGCAGCAGCAGCAGCAGCAGTAGCAGCAGCAGCAGCAGCAACCGCAGCAGCTGCCTCGCATGCTGCAGCATGTTGCCTACTACAGGCTGCTAAAACCTTGCTCAGTTACACATCAAACCCTAAACCCTAAGCCCTAAACCCTAAACCCTAATAAGGGCCCCCCATGACGGGGGGTTGAGGCAATGCAGGGAGAGCAGCTCCTTGAACCCTAAACCCTAAACCCTAAACCCTAAATGTTCAATAGAGTTATATATTTAAAAGTATTTAATAAAAAAGAATGCTCATTTAATTGACGTAAACCCTAAACCCTAAACCCTAAACCCTCGTACTTCATGGGGTCCTCATCGAAGGGCCCCACAGCCGACACTCGGTGACTCCAGACCCTAAACCCTAAACCCTAAACCCTAAACCCTCATTTTCCTTCGCTGAGCAGTTTATATATAAATAAATATCTTGACAAAATTTTGTCTTTATTACATCTCTCCTTAGCCTTAGTTATTTTACGGAAACCTGAGGGTTTAGGGTTTAGGGT